TTTATTTTTGCTATTTTTAGAATATATATTTGTATTTTATTGTTTAAAAGAAATATAAAACATCTTGATAAGGTTTGTAGTTGCTAGTTAAGGACTGAAAAAAAAAAGTTTTTAGCAAGTTAAGAACTAGACAGAAGCTAATGACTACTAAGACAGATCATATTGAGTGAAAGCTTGATAAATCATTATTAGATGAATCAGTTAGGCTAAAAGAAAAAATTTTGTAATTTTTTAATTAGTTTGATCTTAATAAATAGCAGCAGAAAGCTAAAATAAATTATTATAATAAAATTTAAACAATTTTATTATTTAGAAATATTTAAAATATTTAACCTTTATCTAAAGACTATTCTGTGATATCTCTGAATATAGGTATTGCAAATTTTAAAAAATTAACTATTTGTTATAAATTAATGATTAGAATAGAATAATTTTGATATTAATTCAACCTAATTAAATAATTTATATAATATTAAAATTATTTAATTTTGATTAATAGTTTATAAGATATTAATATTAAAAAAAAATATTTTTGTTAGTTGAGATAATAAAACTAAAAAAAATTATTATCAAAAATTTTAAATATTACAAATAAAAAAATAATAAAAATAAAAGAGAATATAACAACTAAATCTGAGTTTACCTCAACCAATATACCAAAATAAAACAAAAAAAAACAAAAATAAAAAAGAAAACAAAAATAAAAAATAAATAAAAACAAAAAAATAGTACTATTAAATCTGTGCAAGATTGTAAAAATTATATAGAACTACTAAATAGACTAAGATAAGCTCTATATTAGCTATTTATATTTATATCTAGGATGTAAAAACTAAAAAAACTATCTGTTTTTAAAGGTTCAAATTTGAATTTTGATTGTGTTTTTGACAAAACTTCTGTGATATATTCATGTAAATTTTTTTGCCACATAGGGTTAAAGATCAATCATATATTATTGAATCTAAAATAAGCATATATACATATATGTATATTTTTTTTGACAGTAATCATTATTGTTAATTCTTTGTCAGAAGTATACTGTATTTCTTACTTTTTAGTAAAATTTTGAGAAGTACAAAGAGTGAGGTATTGAAGAGGTATTTTGGTTAGCAGGTAGCTTTAAACTTTGATAGAGAGTATATTAAAAACTTACTTGCTGTTCTTCTAGATTAACTATATTTTTATTTTGTCAACAGAAACTATACTTTTATTAAAATTTTTCATATAAAGGCATCATCTCTTGCCAGTTATCTTATACAAGAATATTTTTAACTTGCTTGCTAAATATACAAAGAAATCTAATGCAGACAAACAATTCTTGATCTCTGTAAAAACTGTTACTTGTATAGTTGTCTTTTCTACTTTTTTCTAACAAGTTTTTGTTTTTGTTAGATATAGGTTTGATACAAGTGATCATTAGAGAGAGTTTGTTAGTTAGGATATCTATTTTAGCTTTCTAAATAAAAATATTTAAAATTAAATAAAATATATAGTTATGTTTTCTTAAAATAGATTTTTTAATTATCAAAACTTAGATAAGCTTTGAACACTTGAACATTTAGATATTGAACAGATTAAAAAAAAATTTTAAATATTAAAAATATATATTACTACTCATATCTACTTTATATTTATTTAGGGTACTGCTATTTATACTATAATTTTTGCTACAGTACCGGACAGCAAGAAATATTTACTTTTTAGATATAAATATAAAAATGCTTATAACTTACAAACAAATGAATTTAAAAAAAATCTGTCTTACAGATTTGTTGCTTTTAGTCTAAACTACAATTCTGTTAGAATAGATTTTTATTTTTATTATAAATTTAAAAAGTTATTAGAGCCCAAAGTTACTATGTAATCAAAAATTTGGCATTTAATATATAAAAAAAATTGTTTTTATAGATTTTTAACCAATCAGATTCTTGTTACACAAAATAGCCAATCAGATTTGAGTATAAATCTCAAAATTTGGCACTTTTAAAAAAAAATTAGATGTTTCTTGCTGTCCGGTACTGTATTTGTACTATTAGTTTGATTAGAATTAGTTAGAGTTAAAATATAATTCTAATTAAATTAATAATACAAATAGCAAAAATCATAGTACAAATAGCAATTTCTATTATTTATTATTATTTTTTTAAATGTTTAGATTACTATATAACACTTTATTTAGAATTTTAATTTATGTATAAAAACTTTAATTAGATTTAACTTGATAAAATCAACCTCTCTAGCATTACTACTCTAAAATATTTTGTTAGCTAATTAGAATTTAAGATTTAATATAATATAGAGGTTGGAACTGATTTTAATAATTCGAGTTTATTATGTGAATTTTGTAATATTTTAGAATATAATCTAATTAAATTTGAATAAATTTCAAAATATCCCAAAATTTATATGATAAACTTGAATTATTAAAACTAGTTTCAAACTTTAATATAATATAAAAAAATACAAAAAATCAAACAAACCAAAAAATTGTTCATAACTCAATATTTTATCTATGAAACTGCTTTTTGCGTATTAACAAAAAGTTTTGCTTACGAATTTTGGTATTAGAAAAACTTTCTTTAATCTAATTTAATAGCAAAACCTAAACTTAATTTAACTATAAAATTTTTTTTAAGAGGTTTTTATTACATGTATAAACCTTAATGCAATACAATATAGGTTGAATTTAGGGATTAGAACCATTTAACTATTTAAAAATTGTTGCATAATTCTGGGCAGAATAACTATATATTAGTCGTGGGCTAGAATTATTTTAATGCTGGCCAAATTAAACAATTATATATAGGCTAAACAGATGCATTTTTATTAGTGTAATATTTCTGAATTGCATATTAATTTTTTTAAATTAACCAATAAAATTGCTTTTTATAAAAAGAATAAATATAAACCAACATCCTAATTTAGGGGTCCATTAAAGCCATGTATCCACGTGACTTTTTATATGTAGATCAACCAATCATAATCATGAAATTTGATCATTCTGAAGAAGTCAAAAAATCAAAAAACACAAAGATATGAAAAATGGCATTTTAAACTTGTCTTGGTACATTAATAAAAAATGTTGGGAAGGTAATTTTATCTATAAACCTACTCTTATCCTAACATTAAACTAACACTAACCCTAATTACAATTAAATTTGCAAAAGTTATATGGGTATATGGCTTTAACAGTTCCCTTAATTTAGAAACCACAGCTTGATTGTGGCTTGATCTAAAAAGGAAAAAATAAAATTTCATCGGATTTTATTACGTGGTTATAATAAACTGACTTTGTAATTATATCCAAAAATAGCTTTTTTTACTCTGTCACGATTTTGTCACATAAATTGATCGACATGCATAAAAAATTAGCCATATGTAAACGATTAAACGATTAAACGATTAAGAAAAATTTTAGGCGGTTCCAATCCCTAGTTGAATTATGCGCATAGGATAGTTTAGAAATTCAGCAGATCAACCAAAATTTAGGTGGAATAGGCCCGGAGCTAGGCAGGCATTAAGCAATCAACTATATTATAGCAAAATTATCATCTGGGCAGCTTTACTTAATACGTGGGCTACTATTTCATTAGTGTGATTTGGGGAAATTTATCAATTCCGGCCTATTCCGACCCTAAATTTTGGTTGCTCCACTAACGTTAAGGCCACTCCAAATTCTTTGTTTAACATAACATTAAATAGTTCATAAGAGTGGGGGGGTAAAAGATATAAAAAATATAAAAAGCTAATACTGCCATTTGATTGGTTAATACGGGGTGTATTTGTTTATAAAATTTGGGGTTAAACAAAGAATTAAAATGGTCTGGCCTAATCTATCCATGCGCATAGCATCATAATCCTGGGCACCCTAGTATGGGGTTAGGGTGAGGGTGAGGGTAGGTCTTATAGTAAAATTTCCTCCCCAATATTTTTAGGAGTCCAATTTAGGATCTCATTGTTTCGGAACCAAAAAATTAACTTTATATGACCTTATTTTTTAACTATGTACATAATTCTCATGCTTTGGATAAAAGACTTATAATCTAAGGAATAGATAAGCTTATAACCTTCCACTAAATAAAGCATTTTTCATCAACACAAGGTGCGTACTGTTTGCCTGTAATGCTAGAAAATCTAAAGAACATTATCACGTGATTTCACAAACTTATGCCAGTAAAAAGATCAGATTTTTGATAAGGCTAATCATAATCATGATAACTTATAGAGCACAAAATGTTTACTGATTTATGAATAGTTCTCGTCCCTAAAAAAAACTTTTTAAAAAATGTGTGGAATTATCGCGCTTCTGCTATCGAATCCCGATATATTGGCAAGTGTCGAACTGTTCGAGGGATTGCAAATATTGCAACATAGAGGACAGGTAAATTATTCTCACGAATTTAATTATTCTCACGAGTTTAAATTTTTTAAATATATATATTTACGTTTTTGTCGTGACAATTAGGATGCGGCAGGTATCGTGACATGCGGACATAAAGGACGTCTTTATCAATGTAAAGGGAATGGAATGGTGAGGGACGTTTTTGATCAGGAAAACTTACAGAATTTGATTGGAAGTCTCGGTATCGGTCATGGTACGGATTTTTTTTATTAGAAGAAACTTTATACTCTTGTGGGCTGAATAATCATTTGTCACACATTTTATCTTTACACTTACATATTGTTATTAATTTAGTTCGCTATCCAACCGCTGGAACGTCTTCCAATTCTGAAGCGCAACCTTTTTATGTGAATAGTCCATACGGAATAGTTTTGGCACACGTATGTAAAGAACTGGATAAAGTAATCGTGCACGCTATTTCCGAGTTCGCAAAATAATGTTTATTTCGCTTGGTGATTTTTCTGGGGTTTTAGTTTTCAACAAGAAAAAAAAAACGTGCAATCTTAATTGAACAATGCACAAACAAAAATCAATCATAATCTATGTTTTAGAATGGAAATCTTGTTAACGCAGAAGAATTAAAGAACTCACTGGACGTTAAGGCACACCGTCATATCAACACTGACTCTGATTCCGAATTACTTTTGAACACATTTGCCGACAATTTACAGCAAACCGGCAAATTCAGGTAATGAGAAATATATGTGTTTTATTTAAATTACCTATCACTTGTTCTTTGATTATTAATTCAAATTTTGATATTACTTTTAATAAATGGAAGAATTTACGAAGAAGACATCTTTACGGCCATAAAAGGACTTTACGAACAATGTACAGGTGGTTATGCGTGTGTTGCTATTATTGCAGGTACGTGCTTTTACTAATATGCTCCTTTAGCTTTTTTTATACTCTATTATATCAATTAACAAATGAAATATTTTTAGGTTTCGGTATTATTGGGTTTCGTGACCCACATGGAATTAGACCAATATGTTATGGAACTCGGCTAAACCACGAGGGTTTTGATTTTATGTTTGCGTCAGAGAGTGTCGTGTTGGATGCTTTAGGTTTCACAGACATTAGAGATATAAATCCTGGTTGGTGTACTTTATTATTTTTTTGCGTAATGATTTTATCGACGTTAATCGATTTTCTCTGCATAAAAGGCGAAGCTGTCATCGTAACGAAGCAAGCTATAACAAAACGTATACTAGTGAATTGGGGAGAGCTCACACCATGTATATTTGAATATGTATATTTTGCACGTCCTGATTCAGTCATTGACGGAATTTCCGTATATCGCTCGAGGTTAGAAATGGGTGAGCATTTAGCCGATCAAGTTGTGAAAAAATGCGGCAAAAATTTGGATATTGACGTCGTCATTCCGGTGAGCATTTTTTTTTTTAGTGCCATAATTTTCGGCAAATAGTACCCCTTGTTAAAATGCCCACCACCGCCAATTTGAGTCAATTTGTATAGTAACCAGCGGGGTACTAATCAATTTTTAGAACGTGAGAATGTAAGATACTCAGGTACTATTTGCCGAGAACTACGGTAATTTGTTTAATATTTTCACAATAAATTGAAAAGTTTTATGTTAGGTTCCTGACACAAGTCGTGTAGCTGCTCTTCAAGTGTCACACAAATTGAAGATTGCGTATCGTGAAGGATTCATAAAAAATCGTTATGTAGGGCGTACATTCATAATGCCCGGACAACAAATGCGTCGAAAGAGTGTTCGACGTAAATTGAATGCCATGGCTTTGGAATTTGTCGATAAAAATGTTTTAATAGTTGATGGTATATTATAAAATTATACTGCCTTTTATAAATTACAACTTACCATTAACTCTTTTCTCTGTCATGGTTATATAGATTCAATCGTTAGAGGTACAACTTCCAAAGAGATTGTCCAAATGGCACGCGACGCCGGCGCAAAAAAAGTGTACTTCGCTTCATGTGCACCTCCGATTAGGTAAACATTTGTCATCTTATTATTAGTTTACGTGTATTAAATATGATCTAATTTCATTGTTTCGTATAGGTATCCTAATGTTTATGGTATAGATATGCCATCTCGACGGGAGCTTGTGGCATTTGGTCTTGACGATGATTCAATTGCCAAAGAGATAGGTGCGGATATGGTAATATATCAGGTAATGTACTATTCATATTTAATCTACATAAGCTTTTCTTGGTACTGTTTGTTAATTCTTATTAAATTCCTGTAGGATCTTAATGACTTGGTTACTTCTTGCCAGAAGTTCAACCCAAATATTGCAGCATTTGATTGTTCTGTATTTAATGGTCATTATGTTACCGGCGGGGTTACAAATGAATACTTGGATCGTTTAGAAAGGTCTCGTAGTGATTTGGCAAAATCGTCTAGAGAAAACCTTCATTCTCCTGATACTATTGGATTACATAATTTTCGTTATACATCTTCACAAGCATCATTAGAGCGAAATGGTCGGAATGGTGTTAAAGGTGTTAATGGATCATTACAATATTAGTTTTTTTTTTTTTTTATATATATATTATGTATATATGTATGAGAAATTTAGTATGATATATCTTATTCGAATCGGTATCATGGGAATGTGTTGGGTATTATATCAATGGCTTCAGAGTATTCTCTATCAAATAAATCTATAGGCCAGAATTGATCGCATCATGTGAACTGACGTTTTGTCACAGGACCAATCGTGTAATTATAAACCGATCGTGATTAAATTTTACACAAAACCATATAAGTATGGAAGAAGCTTCACGTCAACGTAAAGAACGTTTAGCAGCTACACGTAAACGAAAGCTTGCATCTTCAAAGTCTGAAGAACAAGCGTCAGAAGAACAGGCATCAGAAGAACAGGCATCCGAAGAACAGGCTGTTGAAGATTCTAATACTGTAAAGTACTTATAAGCATATTAATCATAACGTGAAAGTTATTGCTTTGATTTATCACCTGACTAACCTCTACACATATACTGCTGAATGAATAAAAGAAAACCTGTATTAAAATTTCGTAATTATACTCCAGCAAACGAAGAAATAAAAGTTGCAGCCAAAATTCACATAGCGACACCGAACGATTTAGGAGAAACTCTAGAAAAAAATGTGGATCGCATCACTAAAGAAGTGGAAGAAACCGAAAAGGCAAAACGCGAGGAAGAAGTAGT